CTATGAAGCATTATAGGGCTAAGTGGAGAAGGGTGAAATCTATGGGGGGGACAAGCACAGAGAATCTGCAGCAAAACCCAAATGGGGACATCTGATGTGGCATGGAGGAGGGTGAACTGAGAAATTCGTGCCGCCATGTTATATTTGGTCACATTAGGGACTTCTATTCCTCCACGCAATCTATGGGTGTACAGGGTGTGGTGCGACACTCTGGGGTGCTTATAGGCTCAGATAAAAGACAGAAGTCTTTTCTGTATCAGGGGCAGGTAGAAGGAGGGTACCCAGACTGGTAAGGTTCTGAAATGATATAATATTTTGAGGAGTATGGTCATTGTGACTGCATGGATGCGCCCAATCCAGGACAAGGAAGGGAATTGCCAGAATTGCATAAGAGAGATATGTCTCAGAAGTGGGTAACAGTTGGTCACAAAGAGTGGCATAGGAAGGAATCAACCTGACACCCAGGTAGTCCAGGGAAGAGATGGCCCAGTGGTAGGGGTAGCACATCTTTATGTGTGTTACCATAGAGGAAGGGAGGGAAATATTCAGAGCTGTCGTTTTCTCGGGGTTAGCGCAGAGGACCCGACAGTTCAGAGAAGCGGGAGAGAATAGACTGCAGATTTGGGAGAGTGGTAATAGGATTGGTTATCGTTAAGAGGGCATCGTCTGCAAATAGGTTCACCTTGCAATGTATGCTTGGGTAATCAATGCCCATGTCATTAGGGCTGTCTCGAAGTGCTATGGCTAGGGGTTCAAGCTCCAGGATGAATAAAATTGGCACCTTTGTCTGGTCCCTCGATATATGGGAAACCGGGCAGGGAGGTGACCTGCATATTTAACCTGAGCCATGGGAGAGGAGGAAAAGGAAGAGATCCAAGTTAGAACTGAATTCCTGAAGCTCCATCTCTCCAAAATGTAACATAGATAATCCCAAGAGAGGGAATCAAAATCTTTATGGATGTCAAGGGAGAGAAACAAGCCAGGGATCTTGTGCTGGTTCAATAAGTGGATCAAGTGGATCACTTTTCAGATATTGTCACTGGCTTGATGGCCCGGTACAAAGCCTACCTGGTCTTTGTGAACTAGAGAACGCAGGTATTTGTTGATGTGGAAGCTTAGAATTTTTCCCAAAATCTTCACATCTTCATTCAATAAAGAGATAGGATGTAAGGCCTGAGGATCAAAGGCCTCTTCAGAGGATTTGGGAATCATAGTTACAGTACATGCACTCGTAAGGAGTCCTGGGTAGGTCAAGAAAGTGTGGGAAAGCAAACGTCCCGGAAAAATTGGTCCACAAGGTCAACTGGAAAGGGAGTTGATCTATCATATAGTGAGGAGAGCAAATTTGCGAAATCTCAGTAGGGTCCGATGTTAAGTCTCCCTGGGCGGAGTGCAGGCGGATCAATCTGTGGGAACAGTTCACTGCATTTAATTCCCTAGCTAACATTGTATCAGTTTGTTAGCACTGGTGTAAAGTTTATGCTTGGCCCATCTAAGGGTCCTCTTAGCTTGTTCAGTAGCTAGGATGTCCAGTTCCACTGCCAAGGAGTCGCATTTTTCTCAGAGGCTGAGGGGTGCAACTTAAAGGTGGCATTTGCTGAGAAAGTTCTTGAAGTCTTCGCTCTCTCACATGCTTTCTCTCGGTAGCCAGCTATATTAAGTGGCCCCGAAGAGTGGCCTTGATGTTTATTTCTTTAATAAATTATTTGTCAGACATTTGGATGACTTTATTGCTAGATTACAATTCTTTTTTTTTTTTAATGAGTAGGGGTACTATGTACCCCATACTCATTCACATAGAGGGGGTGGTATGCATTTTTGGGGGAACTCTATGCATTTTTTTCCATTCTTGCTATAGGATGTGCTACAGCAAAAGTGACATTTATGAAGAAAAAAATTATACAGTTTCAATTGTCAAAAAATTACACTTATTGCCAGCACACAGACCCCTCCAAAGGTCCTCCAAAATAATACATAGCAGACCCTTGGGTTTTGTGTGTGTGTGTGTTTTTTTTTTTTTTTTTAAGGAACTGTCAATGAATGTAATTTCACTACGATTTTAATCATGTTTTTCCTTTGTCAGTGCCACTGTAGCACTTTCTATACATCACAGAGATGCACCCCTTCACAAGCAGGATTAGCAGGGCTCATGTTAAAGTGGAACTTTAGTCATTCTAGATCACTTCATGCTGGCCCCTTTTGCAGTTATAGCTATGTAAACCATTAAGAATGCCTATACTGTTTAAAATCCAATAATACACTGTCTCACCTTGTTCTTCACATGCTCAGTTGCTACCTATTTTTTGGCACTGTGCCGAAAATGTAGAGGCCAATCTGCTGGTAACCTAAATATTTACTGCTGATCAGGGGCTCTGGGCCTCAGCAAAATGGCAGCCTCTTACAATAAGAAACATGAACAATGTTGGAGGCAATTTACTGCACACACTAGTCTTGGTAGCATAATTATTAACCACTTCAATACCGGGCACTTTTACACCCTTCCTGCCCAGCCAATTTTCAGCTTTCAACACTGTCACACTTTGAATGCCAATTCCTAAGTCATGCAACACTGTACCCAAATGAATATGTTATTTTTTTCACACAAATAGAGATTTCTTTTGGTGGTATTTAATCACCACTGAGGTTTTTACTTTTTGCTATATAAATGGAAAAAGGCCAGAAATTTTGAAAGTTTTTCTTAGTTTCTGTTATAATATTTTGCAAATAATCGTTCTTCAAAAATTTAGGCCAAAGTTTAGTCTGCTACATTTCCTTGATACAAATAACCCAAATCTGTGTATATTATATAGCCTGTGTGAACTATGAGATAGATAGATAGATAGATAGATAGAGAGATAGATATATATATATATATATATATATATATATATATATATATACACTGCTCAAAAAATCTAAAGGAACACTTTGAAAACACATCAGATCTCAAGGGGGAAAAATATCATGCTGGATATCAATACTGATATGGACTGGGTAATGTGTTAGGAACGTAAGGATGTCCCATCATTTGATGGAAATGAAAATGATCAGCCTACAAAGGACTGAATTCGAAGACACCCTGAAAATCAAAGTGAAAAAATTACGCAGCAGGCTAGTCCATTTTGCTAAAATTTCATTGCAGCAACTCAAAATGGTACTCAGTAGTTTGTATGGACCCCAGGTGCTGTATGCATGCCTGACAACATCGGGGCATGCTCCTAATGAGATGACGGATGGTGTCCTGGGGTAGTTCCTCCCAGATCTGGACTACGGCATCACTATGCTCCTGGACAGTCTGAGGTGCAACCTGGCGGCGTTGGATGGACCAAAACATCCCAGAGGTGTCCTATTGGATTTAGGTCAGGCGAGCATGGGGGCCATTCAATAGTATCAATTCCTTCATCTTCCAGGAACTGCTTGTATACTGTCGCCACATAAGGCCGGGCATTGTCGTACACCAGGAGGAACCCAGGACCCACTGGACCAGCGTAGGGTCTGACAATGGGTCCATGGACTTCATTCTGATACCGAATTGAAGTCAGGGACCCATTGTCTGGTCTGTAGAGGTCTGTGCATCCCTCCTTGGATATGTCTCCCCAGACCATCGCTGACCCACCACCAAAACAGTCATGCTGAACGATGCTACAGGCAGCATAACGGTCTCTACGGCTGCTCCAGATCCTTTTACATCTGTCACATGTGCTCAGGGTAAACCCGTACTCACCTTTTAAAAAGCACAGGGCACCAGTGGCGGACCTGCCAATTCTGGTGTTCAATTGCAAATGCCAGTAAAGCTCTATGGTGCTGGGCAGTGAGCACAGGGCCCACTAGAGGATGTCAGGCCCTCAGGCAACCCTCATGAAGTCTGTTTCTGATTGGTCAGAGACATTCACACCAGTAGCCTGCTAGAGGTCATTTTGCAGGGCTCTGGCAGTGCTCATCCTGTTCCTCCTTGCACAAAGGAGCAGATACCTGTCCTGCTGATGGGTTAAGGACCTTCTACGGCCCTGTCCAGCTCTCCTAGAGTAACTGCCTGTCTCCTGGAATCTCCTCCATGCTCTTGATACTGTGCTGGGAGATACAGAAAGCCTTCTGCCAATGGCACGTATTGATGTGCCGCCCTGGAGGAGTTGGACTGCCTGTGCAATCTCTGTAGAGTCCAGGTATTGCCTCATGCTACTAGTAGTGACACCGACCCTAGCCAAACTAGTGAAAAACAGTCAGAAAAAAATGAGTAGGGAAAAAATTGTCAGTGGCCTTCACCTGTAAAACCATTCCTGTTTTGGGGATCATCTCATCGTTGCCCATCTAGTGCACCTGTTGGTAATTTCATTAACACCATAGCAGCTGAAGCTGATTAACAACCCCCTTTGCTACTTAACTGACGAGATCAATATCCCAGGAGTTTAATTGACTTGATGCTATACTCTGATGAAAAAGTGTTCCTTTAACTTTTTGAGCCATGTATATATGTGTGTGTGTGTATATATATATATATATATATATATATATATATATATATATATATATAGTTGAAAATTGGTCAGTCCTGACGTACTGACATCCTACCTCATGTCCTGAGGACCTAATCAAATACACCCCAAATTACCACTTTTTGGAATGTAGACATCCCGAGGGATTTAATAACAGACATGGTGACTTTTTTGGAGCTGTATTTTTTTTCTCACAGTTCTTTGGAAAATGAAAAAATGTAATAAAATGTGTGAGTTTTTTTTCATAAAATCGTCATTTTTAACACTGTGACAGATGTTGATGGGACACTGGTACACTGACAGATGTTTTTGTGCACTGATATACAGTTACAGATGTTGATGGTCCACTAGTGACACAGACAGATGTTGATGTTGCAGTGGGACACTGGGAGATGTTTGATGTTGCAATGGGACACTATTGCAGGTGTTGATGTGCATTGGTACACTGTGAAATATGTTTTTGTGCACTGGTACACTGTGACAGGTGTTGATGAGACACTGGTATACTGTGACAGATGTTTATGGGACACTGGTACAGATGTCGATGTACACTTGGACACTGTGAAAGATGGTGCTTAGTGCGCTGTTTACAAATGGCTGCACTGTGTGGGATTTGTGTGTAGGTTGTGACAGTGTGACTATCTGTCACCCAGGATTCTCAACTAGGCAGGTTGAGGGGCTCCAGAGTAAGTGTTTGATATGGAGGAAAGTGGCTTTTCACCTTCCTCCTTTGTTTGCAAGGTCTGTTTTGGGAGCTGGAGCCTGGAGATTTCAAAGAGATCTGGGAGGGATGAAATCTCCAATCCTGGGACCAGGTTTTGGGAATGGCCAGGAGACTGATTGCACAGGTGTGTGTGGGCCTTTTCAGAGAGTCAGGACCAGAGTTCTGGGCTCCACCCCGGCAGACAGGAGTCAGGAGGGCTCCACCTAGGGAGGTGGAAGCCAAAAGCAGCAAGGGGCTGCTAGAGACTAGCTGTGTGCTAGTGGCCAGCTGTGTGCACGAGCCATAATTCTTGAAGTCTGCAGGAGACAGACAGCAAGCTGAGTATAAGCCAGGAGGCTGAACTGTTGTTTTGTTTGATGGTGGATACCCCTGTGTGGGAAACTTCTGTTTTGAACTTTCATTTAAATAAAAGTGAGCTAAAAAAGGCCTTAAAAAAAGAAAGTGAGTAGCTGTGTGCGTTTAAAAGCTCTACCACGTTGAAGCAAGTTCCCACAAGGTACAGTAAAATCAGCAGTTACACACAGATCCCTGACAGAATATGCTTTCCCCCCATCACTGAGCTCTTTGTGTGAGGAGAGTCGTTATAGAGGCACGTGCCTCTGTTTACATTGTGTGATGGCTGTGATTGGACACAGCCATCACATGATCAGGTGGGCCAATCAGAGAGCCCATGGACACCCTCCAAGAACTGGAGAGTCACTCTGTAGCCATCTTATGGCTATAGTGCAGTCAGGAAGAGGTAAATGTGAAATGTATGCTCCTTGCTAAAGAACATTTTTTTTTTTATCAAGTTGCTATGGGTAAAGTTCCACTTCAAAGGCTAAGTTCACGTATTCAAGCAGAATTTCACTGTTTACAATAAATAGAATCCTTTTGTAATATCATTTATTCCCCAGCCATCCCAATGTTCTTCTCTCTCAATTACATCATCCACAGATGCTTTGAAATGTAATGTTTCTGAGTTTTAAAAAATTATTTCTGCTTGCATCACTTTCTGTAGGTCATCTCCCATTATTCACTGTGTTGTTGCATCACAAAAAAAGGCGTCAGAAGGTATGTATTTCCAGTCTGAACTACACCTCTCTCATTACTATACCACTTCTTGTTTTATTTCTACCCACTTTCCTACTGCTTCCCTTAAGGTGACATACACATTACAGTCTGATTGTGCAATCTCCTTTAGATCTCCCAGCTATTTAGTGCAAGGGCCTGTCTGATTCGATATAGATTGAATAAATTGTTCAGGTGGGTCTTCCTATTCCATAGTTCCGGAAAATCTAAAGGAAGTTGTACAGAGATTGTACAATCAGATTGCATAGTGTATGGTCATCTTTATACAAGTACATGGGAGGGAGTGGATGGAGACACTCAGCTGTCAGGCCCATTCACATCATGTTCCCACACATTTTGTTTTGGAGCACTTCTGCTCGTTAATCATGGGGCAGCCCATTCACTTGAATGTACAGCACTATGTGCAACAAATGCCCCAAAAAAGCTCTAGAGTTTTTTGGGTTTTTTTAGAGCGGAGCATGGTGCATTTTTTACTGTACATTTTGGTGCATTTGTAGCACATTTGTCACATGGCAGATGCGCGCCTGCTATCTGTGCTTGGGTTACCATTAACAGTTAATTGCACTGCAGGTGTGATGCTCATTTGCAGAGCATTTCCAAAATGCATGTGTGTTTTCTGTGCAGGTTGCCATGTGTTCGGAAACATGCAGATGTAAATGGAGACCCATTGTTCTTGTGTAAGCACACCAATTTCACTTTTAGGTCCCATTCACACCCAAGGTAGTGGGAACACGTGTTTGTTTTTAATCGTTTTTCCCATAACACACATAGTGCAGCCCATTGATTGGGTAGTCCTACACGTGGCAAAGTAGCTCATGGCACATATTGGTCTATTACAGTTTGTACTTTTTTTACTGTGAATTTTTGCTTGTTTTTTTTTATGTAAAATGTGTGTTTGCTTCTGCGTTTGGGGTGACGTTAACAATTAATGGCTGAAAGTGAGAGTAGTTAATTTTAGCTGTATAAATGTGGCCATACACTATACAATTCTATTGTACAATTGCTGTACAATCTCCTTTTAGATGTGCCAAAACTATGTAATAGGAGGAGACAACATCTATCCAATCACTGTGTATCAAGTCAGGCAGGCCTTTGCACTACATAGTAGATGGTAGATCTAAAGAAGATTGTACAATCAGATTGTATAGGTTATGGTGAGTTTTACAGACTTCCAGCATTTCTCCTGTTTTCAGTACTACATGCTGCTCCGCATAGGCTTTTATCTGATATCCCAGCTCCTGCACATTCGGCAAATGAACGCTCTATGCAATCTATGTAAGACAGAAAAAAAACAATGGCTGTATGTCGAGTGAAAACAGTTAACGCTGATTGCATTGGGAATGCTGAACCTGTGGAGGTGGATGGGAGCCATCTCCTGGAGGGGGAGGACAGGTGCAGTGTCTGTGTGTTAATGAGGTCAGCTGGTTAACTACTTCCTTTTACTTGTTCTAACGTCATGAATACCAAACTCAGGACAGCTAATGGTGGAGCTTTCAATAGGACACTGAGGCTGAGGTAAGGCCTGTGTATAGGATATTAAAGAGAGCTTTTTTTTTTATATACAAGAACATTTATGGTATGTTGACACATAGGGAAGCTTGAATTTAGAAAAAAAAGTGTACTTGGCTTTTAAAATGGTGTACCAAATAAAAACCTTCTGTTTCCTTACAAAACTGACTATGCTGCCCTACTAACGGTTAGCTGACAGCTAGCTAACAAAATGGACAGAATCAGGGTTGTGTTTCATTTGAAAATTTAATTTACTTCTGTAAAAAAACAAATGTGTATCAAAGGAAGAATGGAGGCCTTCACTAGTGTTTTTCTAGAAGCTGAATAGCTGCAGTAGTTTATGGGAAATCTTTTTTTTTTAATGAACACATTCTGTTATTTACTGATGTAGCCCACTGGATCTAAACTGGGGCTACTATGCACATCTAGTTTTTGACTGGGCTGTAGCTAGCTTAGACTGATTTCATAGTTTCTTATTTGGCTTTCCCCTAATCTCGGTTGGGTTGTGCATTTCTCACTGTTGCCAGTAGGTGTCACTGGTACCACAGGTCATAGTATGAGATTGTACAACCAGACAGCCCTGTAGGAGGTTCTATGGCCACTGGTGCATTCTGGGAGAGGATATATATATTTGGGGCGGGCCATGTGCTCGCTCTAATACCTCACGCTGAGGCCCGAGGGGGTGTTTGCTGGAGAGAGCTCTATATTAGGCCAAGAAGCCTGTCTGGGCCTACCTGCTTTGAAGTGGCCCTGAGTAGGGATGGGCTTGATGTTCGAGATGAACGCAAGTTCAACTCAAACATTGGCAGTTCACCGATGTTCACCTGCCGAGCACCCCACAATCCACTGCACTCTCACAGTGCATTGGGAGTGCTATGATTGGCATTACATCAATGGAATCATTTGTTTTTTGCTTTTTTTTTTTTAAATTAAAGGACTTTATTTTTTCTAAATTTAATCGTTTGGTGAATGGGTAGGGGTACAAGTACCCCTTACTCATTCACAATGAGGGGGCAGCATCAGGGTACCCCTTGTTTAAAGGGTTACCCTGATGCTAATGAGCCCCCCCTGTCCGCAGACCCCCACAACCACCGGGCCACGGTTGTGGGGAAGAGGCCCAGGACGGTGTCCCCATGCCGAAGGCATGTGACCTGGTAAGCCACAAGGGCCCCCCCCCTTGACCTTTGTGCTCAGGTCAAGGATCTAGTAGGAATTTTTCCCTCATTTTTTGGGAGTGGGGTTCCCCTTCAAGTCCTACCAGGCATAAAGGGCCTGGTATGGCTTTTAGGGGGAACCCCATGCACTTTTTACCACCATATTTGGGAGGCAGTGTTCCCCTTAAAAGTCCTACCAGGGGGGGACCCCACACTGTTTTTTTTCAAATAAAAATGTAATTTAAAAAAAAATTCCTGCTGCAGAAGATTCAATACATTGTACAGATGTGCAACTTTGCAGGTAGTTTAAGGGGACCCCCAGGCATTATATTTAAAGGAGTTTTTCTTTTTTTTTTTTTTTTTTACTTTAAGCAATGAAAAATGACTGCCCCTTTAAAAATTGTACTTTTTGACACTTTTTTTCACTGTTTCATGTCTCTCATGGCAGTACCAAATTCTCTATACCCCTTTTATGGCCAATAACTTGCATATAAGTCTTCAAAATGGCACTTTTGAATTTACAAGTTCTAGTCCCATACACTTGCACTATGTTTGATGTTCATGGTAGAACTTTCTTTAGGTTCGAATGATCTATCGCGAACCGGACAGGGGTGTGTGCAGACCATCACTAATTATAACACACATTATTGCAAGCATGGAAGCTACCTAGGTGCATGTTATAGACTCTCTCTCTATATATATATATATATATATATATATATAATATATATATATATATATATATATATATATATATATATATATATATATATAGCACAGTGGCTAAGTGGTTAGCACTTCCGCCTGGCAGTACTAGGGTTGCCGGTTCGAATCCCAACCACAGCACCACCTGCCTGAAGTTTGCATGTTCTCCCTGTGCCTGCGTGGGTTTCCTCCGGGTACTCCGGTTTCCTCCCACACTCCAAAGACATGCTGGTAGGTTAATTGGCTCCTGTCTAAATTGTCCGTAGTATGTGTATGTATGAATGTGATTTAGGGACCTTAGATTGTATGCCCCTTGAGGGTTAGGGACTGATGTGAATGTACAATATATATATATGTAAAGCGCTGCGTAAATTGATGGTGCTATATAAGTACCTGAAATAAATAAAAATATATTTACTTGTAATCTCTATGCCTGCTACTGTATTATCAGGGCAGGATTGGGTACTTTGAAGGCTTCTGGTCATTGTATTATTTGCAAACACTTTGTGGATTCTGTTCTGTGCTGAGATCTGATAAACGTGAGCCTATCTGGAGAACAAGGTTGCTGGGGCAAAATTCATTTTTTTGTATTAGAGGAGTTTTGCTTTCTATATCAGCTAGGGCACTCTTGCCTCAACAATAATAACAATAGTTATCACTCCTCATCCAAATATA